ATAAAACACGCCGTAAGAAAGTTTGAATATGTTAATTGATGTTCAAATATAGTAATTATCAAAAAAATTCCAAAACATGTTTCGAATATGAGTGAATACATGCAGAAAATTTCAAGATGCCATATAAACATAGTTTTCGCCCAAAAGTTCTCAAAGATCTTTTTAAAATTGTGCCTCTTAATAGAGATGCTTCTAAGTTCTTCAGACTGATATTGAATAAGGGTTTGAAGAAATTTTACCTCGTTTCTCGATAATTCGTTGCCATACTCCTCAGAGTCCATAACCGAAGAATCAAATTATTATCAGTGGAAATACTGGCTAATCGTTGTTGAAACGGTTTGACCAAGAAGGTGCTAAAGGTACTGTCGATCTACCTTCTTCAAGGAACTTTCCTAAGGCATATATCATACGAGACTGTCGAACACATTGGATAAGATGTAGATCGGTCACAGACAGTCGTTATTAATGTTAATTTTATCCATTTATTAAGTATTCAGGTGTTCCAACAGAGGTTCTCAATTTATAGAGAATCATCAACATCAGTCAGATGATTTTTGGTTCAAGACTATTGTACAGACGATTGAAGTAAAGCTGTGCTAAGTTTTATGAGTTCAAACCTTCGTTCGTATAGAAAAAAAAAAAAAAAAAATACTTTCTTTAGATATATATATCTAAAGAAGATCCTTTACTTAACAAATTTTTGAAATATCTTTTTATTAATTTAGTCAGATCTAATTGGCATGCTGTTTATTGAATGAAACTCTATAAAATTGAAAAAGTTCAATTTAAAAAGACTTTATTGTAATAAATTTCAGTAATATTTTATTACTCGGAATAATTTTTAAACTCGTATTTAAGCTACATTCGATTTTTTATTTAATTTCAACAAATTATACTCTTCTTGTCTTTTTTTCGTTACTTCATTCTTGCATCTGAGAAATATTATTTTCAAATTTATAAACAAAACGAAGTATGAAAATATATAATAATATTGTTATTATTTTATTTGTTTGATGAATAATACGCTTCATAAATTTTCACCTGTTCTTCTTGTCCGACCTACTCAACTTAAATTATCGAATGCCTCTTTTTAACGTTCTACAGCAGAGATTCACTGTAGATTTGATGAATTGTAATTAATTTAACTTTAACTGTAATTAATTTAGCCACTTTCGAAAAATGACAATGTTTTTTTCGTATCGTATCAAATGATATGAGCGCCACTGGGATGATCGGAATAAAAGTGGGAATGCAAACATCGAAACATAATAGACGCCCGCTCGATGGAAATACTAATGAGACAGACGATGCAAGTATAACGGATTGTGAAGAATAGCGATAATTTTTGAGAATGCGGCGAAAGCTGTATCTTTATAGAAAAATTAAGCATTTGTATTACTCAGGGGACAATGGACCGGAACTCGAGTGCACCGTCAAATTACTCTCACACGAATTCTTAGTTACTTAATTTGAGAAATGGCTCGTCTTTACGATTCATTTTACTTACGATATAATTGTCTTATTGACAAAAAAAAAAAAAAATTCACTTGTAGTTGTAGTGATGACTTATAAATTTCTTGATAAGCATACCTGCAAAAAATTGTTATTTTTACCATATGCTAAAACTTTTTAGAAGAATAAATTATTAACAAAGTCCGCAACTCTTCTATAATAAAGAAATTCAGAGATCAATGCAATTTGTGAGACTAATCAGAAGCTAAAGATTGTTAAAATTAGTCCTATAATTAATTCTGTTGAAATAATAAAAATAATTTTAAAAAAATATTTTTGTGCCTTAGTTGCCTTATTATTAAATTATTCTTATTATTTTATCAATTGTCACAGGCAAACGAGAAAAACATTTTTCGATCCCACATTGCCCATAATAAATTTGTGACAAATGATGTTTTCATAATTAAACGAGGCACAAGAGTCATAATTTTATAAACTGATGATCTTATAATTTTTATATTGACTCTGCAATAATATCATATTTACACACATTCCGATACATGCGTAAGGAAACAGTAAATGGCAATGGAAATTCAATAATGTAATACCTATAAAAATTTTGTTGTATAAATATCAGCATAATTTTATAAAAAAATAATAATAAAATCAATATTGCTAATAATGTTAGCTGAAGTTAAAATAGCTTAACAAATAACGTAAATTTTTTCATATCATGAATTTTATTGGACCTGGTTCCTATAGCACTTGGCAGAATTTCTTGATATGAAAATATAAAAATATAAAAAATATAAAAATATAAAAATTAATATTTTAACAAATCAGAATACGTTTGTATAAATATAAAAAAAAAAATAAAGATTCGTATCATATATACAATCAATATTACAAACTCACGACAAGCATAAGAAAATTGTAATAAGCCACGAATAATATACCATAAGAATTATTGATCTCTTGGAGGAAACGTTATAATAATTAACAGAATGACGAATTGCGTAACATCTATCAATTGTTATTGTTTTACGTTCATCCCTGAAATCTATAATTATTTATTTAAATAATGACTTCAAAGTTTGAATAAATAATAAATTAATAAATTTTTCATAAATAAAAATATAACTTTGAAAACACATGTCGTTTTTCTTTACTATTTTCTGATTTGAAGAAACAAGTTTTATACAATTTTTATTAAATTGATTATTACCGGAAAATAATATTTCATGCTAGTTCAGATATTTAAAAAGCAAACAACATATTAAAATGTACAATGAAGAAATATTTTCACAAAATTCTTATGAAATTATTTTCTAGTAAAGTAACGATAAGTTAATGAAGACAGATTCACATTTGAAACTACAGTGTTCTTCTACCATTTCGTTTCCGTTCCTACCGGAACTAGTATCCGATTCGTTTGCGTTCTGTTTCATTTTACTGAGTTATATCAAGGATAATTTCTTCTAATATTTTCTTTCTCAAATAATCGCTCATATTTAATATATCGAAATATCTATTTGACGTTTTACAATCACGTTTAAATGTTCAAATCGCCATGTTGTGACGTTTCGGGTCATTGCATAGACAGCTAATGAGCATGCTCACAAATGTTTCGTATTTATGTTCTGAAAACGAAACGGCATGGAGTCGCAGGATAAGATCGCAAATATACAAGCGCAATTCAAGGATGTTCGAAAATTGCTGAATGATCTTGAAAAATACAAAACGGAAAGCGAACCGTATAAAATAAAGTATCAAGCGATCGGAGTGTTGAAATCGATGGAAATAGATTTGGCCAACATTTTAACCGACATGCCAGAGACGGAAAAAGGAGAAGAAATAATAATGCTTGCTGTGATACATTTAAATCTCGGTTTGTTACACGCTGATACCGAAGAGTTAAAAGCAGGCGAGGAACAATTCATGAAATGCATAAAATTATTGAAAAACAAAGAGCTGGAGCCGGAAGCTGTCTTGCCAGTATTAAGCGCATTGAATCAGTTGGGTATTATATGGTCCCAATGGAATCAACCTGTAAAGGCAAAAGACTTTCTAGATCAGGCAGAGCGAATTTACAACGACTTTATAAATACTAATAACCCGTGCAGAGATCTGATTAATATGGCTCAGAATTTTGGCATTGAGCAAGTTAAAGATGAGTTAAGCCCTAAAGATGTATTAGAGAAAGTTCATACTTTAACGTTATACTATTTGGCACAAGTATATAATTCCTTGAAAGATCATCGCCAGTCTGCAATATACTGTCACATGACTTTATGTAGGCAATTAGGACAAAACGACATTGTGCAAGATTTAGATTATATTGATTGGGCATTAAATGCAGCAACATTGTCACAGTATTTTATGGAAAATGGAAGTTTTACCCAAGCAAGACACCATTTAGCAGCTGCGTCTTACATATTACAAAAGTATAAAGACATGTTGAAAGAGAAAACTGAAAAGAATGGAGAAAGTGAAGCACTCACAGCTGAGTGGGAAAATTTTAATCATAGAAGTGCAGACGTTGCCAGATGTTGGGCTAAATATGGAATTTTACTGCTAATGTTATCAAAAGAAAGGCTTTTACATAAAACTGAATCAGAACAGGATAATAACCAGTCAAACAATAATTCTTCAAAATCAAAAATTATTGATGACTTAAAGTTCAATAGTTTAGAGAAAGAAATAGAACCAATCGCAAATCAGATCACTGATAAATATTTATTAGATTTCGAAGATGCTAGATTAGTGTTCTTGAATACCCAAAAATGGTTAGAGCAAGCTAAGTCATATTATACTTTAGAAAATCTTGCATCTGACCATATATCAATTGTACAAGATATTTCTTTAACTTATAAATATTTGGCATTCTTTGAAGAACATGAAGACAGGCAAGCAAAAATACACAAAAGAAGAATAGACATTTTAGAAAATATTATTAAAGAATTAAACCCCCAATATTATGAATCTGCTTGCAGGCAAATTTGGATCGAATTAGGAGAAACATATTCTGATATTCTTGATATAAAACTTGATCGTTTACGATCATCCGATGAAAAACCTGTACCGCAAGTGCTAAAAAAAATTAATCATTTAGCAAAAAGTGCTATAAAAAATTTTCAAGCGTTCCTTGATTTATTAAATTTACATCGAAATTCTAATTCTAATATAGAAGAATTTCCTGATGAAGTAATGCAACCAGCTTTGTTTTCTTATTTTCATCTAGGTAGATTGTATAATAAAATTATAACTCCTGACAAAGCTATTCAATTGCAAAATACGCAACAAAGTATTAACGCATATAAATTCATAATCGATTATTGTGAAAAATATCCCAAAGCAGCTGAGGTGATGAAAGTTGAATTAAATCTATGTAAAGAATTAGTAAATTTGTCGTTACTTAAATCAAATCATTATCAATCAAAGTAAACATACGGCAAGGAAAAATGATTAATAAATGAAGTTATATTCCATTGCACAAGTTTTAATTATAATTGTGAATTACTTTTCACAAAGTATTCAATTCTATATATCTTTCTTTTTCACTGACACATTTTAATACTCTATTCTCATAATTATAACAGTTCCTTTGTAATAATAATAGAACGATTTATATGTACGTAAGAGTAATATATAGAAATGTAACACGTGTATTCTATTTTTTTTTAATTAAAATTTATATTGTATATTTTAAATGATAAATGAAAAATTATAAATAAATTTTAATACTAGTGAAGTAGTAAAGTTTATGAGTTAATTCAACTTATTTTCTTAACATAGAGACAAGAGGTATACAATAAACAGTTATTACAAGATAATTTTGTATTTATTTCATACAATAAAAAATCACTTTTTCTCTGCCTTTTTACTAGTAGTCTTTGCTTTCTTAACTTTCTTTTTCAATCGGTAAAACACATCTGTCCTCAATTTGTTCCTGATCTGTTTTGCTTTTCTTAGCTTAAAGCGGTCAAAATCACTAAGTTCCAAACGCTGAAAATGGATAAAAATCGATTTTAGTTATTATGCAAAATATAATTACAAGGATAATATTTGCATTATTAAATTTACTTTCTTCTTAGCTTCAACCTTCCTTGCCCACATAGTTTCTTTCCAAAGATCATTAATATTTGCTGCTTCCCATGCTTTACGTACAACACGGGTGGATCCTGTATATGGAAAACGTATACGGAATTTAGTTAGATGGAGTTCATTTAACCTCATTTCACAACGTGGAACATTTGAAGCAGGTCCATCAACCAAAACCTGTAAACAAAATCAAAGTTTGATTTATAAAATGCTTGAACTGAATCTATAGTAAATAATGACTAAATATTTTAGTTCAGTTAGAGTATGGGCATCAATTAAATATCAGCCGGCAATTCCTATCAAGATACTGGATCATCATATATTATTATGTAAAAGATCAAGAACACAATTGAATATAATATTTAATATCTTGGTTTAATATTTAATGAAAGGTATAACATATATACAAAATTGTCTCACCCGGTTTTGATCGATGATATCTACAATAGCAACAAGTTTACCCTTGTGCTGGCCATCACTCACATAAGCGATGCGACCCGATTCTACAAATCTCTGGAATGGCTATTAAAAAAAAATTTCATTATTTTTACAATAAAAAAATTATCTTATTACAAATCAATTTTATGTATGAATAAGTTTATATAATGATTTGCAACAAATAAGTGTAGCTACCATGTGGTTGAAAGCTATGTTAAATACAAGGTTATGTCGACTAACTTTTTATGGTTGTATCGTTAAAAGTAGATTAATATAAATTAAATTAAGTAATGAGTATAGAAGACTTTCTTATTAAAAAAATTTTTCATACATCAATATTGTAAATTATACATGTAACATACATTAAGTTTAAAATTACACTTTACTTACCATGACTTACCGGAAGCAAAAGACCAATATCGGATAAAGTACTGACGATACCAACTGTTAAAAGTAACTTGTCTCTAGTTTAAAGTGCAATAAAATTTTTTTTGTAGTAAAATTCCCTACGCATAGCAGAAATAAACTCCAAATACAATTAATTCTTAAACTTACCACATTAAATCATAGAGGGCATGTTTGACTTTTTGTACAATCAGTGCATTAATTCTTGTAACACAAATTGTTATAAGGATTTCCTTTCTGACTTAATTCTTGCAACATTTTGTATAAAATAAATATTTATCATAAAATGTTTTTATAGTTGTATTATAAGAAGATACAAATACAAAAAATGGCTTTAGCGCAAGCTGATTCTACAAATTATATATCAAAATTTGATGGTATTGTGGAAAAACTAGTTATATTGACAAAGAAGAAGATTGATGAAACGAAGTTGATTAACAATTACCTTTGTGATCTTAATAATCTTGATTATCGATATTTAACAGGTTTGAATAATGAAGTAAGTTCAAACAAACAATTTAATTTATTATAATTAATTACAATATTTGTTAGAATCTTTAGCAAATAGTTTGGTTAATTGCTAATTTAAAATATCTAAAAATTGTTGCTTTATCTTTCAATAATATTTTAGACATTACAGTTGCTGATTAAACAATTGTGTTTTATCATTACGCCCGCAGAAACAGATTTGATTCAAAATTTTTGTAAACTATTAGTTAATATAACTCAAAACAATATTGAACTTCAGAAACAAACATTTTTATACTCCAGGGAATGGATTGTAAAAATTTGTAAATCTGCTTTACCAATTACACATAATAATATAATTTTGGCTCTAAAAAATTTATTAACAAATGAACAATTTGATAATATTAATCATGTAAGTACAAATTTTTAAAAATTACTCTATATTTATGAATGAAATATTGCAAATGCATAGCATTTGAAATAATATTATTTAATAGTTATAATATTATAATTGTTATTATTATTATTATTATATTATTTCAGTATTTGAAATTGTTAATTGAAGATAATCAGTTATTAAAAAGATATTTGAATCCATCTAATACACAATGGTCTGAAATTCATTACAATACAATTAGTTGCTTAGAAGCAATTTTAATGAGTTGCAATAGTACTTTTATAACAAAAAAACTGATATATATCATTAAAGATATTGCACTAGATATTGTTTCTTTTTCCTTATATTTAAATGACAATAAATATTACTATACCAAAGTGAGTATTACATGTGAAATAAACATCAAATTGTATAAAATTTATTATCATCATTTATAAATTAAATTTTTAGGTATTATATTCATGCTTACGTATTCTGCAAATAATAACAGTTAATGCACTATTACCACATACTGTTGACTTTATGGGTGAAATTTTAGGAGTGGTGCAATCATTTTTATTTTATGGTCTTAAAGACTATCCTTCTATAAAACCACAATTTCTTCGTCCAGCAGTAATGAACCTTCCAGAGCGAATTCATACAGTTCCTAAGTGTAAAAATTTGAAGAATCACAAGGCAAAAGTAAGAAAACAACCTATTAAAAAGGTTGCTACTGAAGTAAAAAATAACATTGTATCAGAATGTAAAGGAATTGGTCTCTATTCAAGTGATTCAGATACCTCAGATACTGAAAGTAATAATTCTGTTTTTATGGAGTCTAAAGTAAGACTAGAATCTGTACGATTACTACAAGCACTTATTGAAAATTCACCAAATCGTGAAATATTTGGATTTTGGCCACAAATTGTTGCCACAGGGACACGAAATGATGCTAGAGTATTGACTAGAAGCGTTTTAAAAGAATCTGTATCTAAAGTGAAACAACATATATTAAGCACATTAACAGAATTATTGATAGATGCTAAATCTTTTTTAATGCACGCAGAAGATGTTCATCATACGTCTTTTATTACCTTTTTTGGTACAGTCTGTTTAATGATAAAAGAATTGCATTTTACATTATCTTTGATCTTAAGTGGTGAAACAAATGTAGCTGTTTTAACCCATGGCTTAAAATGCGCTGCTGCTTTAGTTCAAGGTACACCATATGCGCGTTTGAAGGCAGGACTCGCTACAAAATTAGTGAGAAATTGTAGGCCATACATATTTCACAAAGGTATTTCTATTATATAATATATTTTCTTACAAAAATAAAATCCTGTGATTATTATGATGCCTTGTATAGATCCAACAGTTCGTGTTGCTGCACTGTCAGTTTTTGAAGCTGTTGCTTCCTGTGATCCAGTAACTCCAGAAATATTTGAAATACTTGCAAAACAATCTACTACAAATGTAGGATCGGATCAACTATCTTTGAATATTTCACTTAGTGACAATACAGAAGAAGATGAAGAAGGAGAAGAAGAAATAGATGTTGAAGATCTCAAAAATAATTTGATAAATGAGTACAACAATAAATTATTCAGAGAAACAAATATCTGTTTTCTAATTCATGTTTGTTTAGAAAACATATCAAATAAGGTATACTCACATTTATAATTAAGACTTTATGCGAATGAGATAAAAGACATAATTTTTTAGAAAATAATCATTTTTAGACGATGAGTACACCTGTTCGTCTTCAATCGTTAAAATTAATTGGTAGAATGGCATTTAGTACTGGAAGTCTTGTATTTCCACATACAGACTTAATTACAATGACTTTAATAGGAGTTGTACAAGATTCTGAAACACAAGTAATCTTACATGCTTGTCGAGCTCTAGAAATTATGGCTGGCTGCTTTATGAACACTGATTCAGAGGATAAAAATGCTGTAATATTTTGGAATATTATATTTGATCCTATGACATCACTTCTTCAACATCCACAAACAATAATAAGAGAAGCTGCATGTGATTGTTTAGGCAGTATTAACTCTACTATATTTGCCCAACTTCAAGTGAGTATTTATATAAAAATTGAATTATTACAGTTTGTTATATGTATTTTTTATAATTATTTTTTAGAGACAAAAAGTAGTATTAATTATTACAATACTGTTTGGTGCAATACATGATAAAGAAAGTGCAGTAAGAGCTGCTGGGTTACGAGCATTAGGAATGTTAGTCACATTACCAGCATTAAAAGAAGAAAGTGGATTTTTAATGGATTTAGCTGATATAGTTTGTTTAACTGCTGATGATAAAAATCTGGGTGTTCGTATTAAGGGAGCTTGGGCGTTAGCTAATTTGTGTAATTGTCTTACTAAAGAAAAGTTAGTTACAGACAAATCATATGTTAATTATTTTATACTAGCCTGATTATTTTTTCTATATCTTTTATTTGTACAGTTAAAAAATTTAATTTTTTTATCTTTATAGAAATCACGAAGAAGTAGAACCTATTCCTTTAGAAGTGTTATTGCCAAAAATTTATCAAGTCAGTATTAAAGCATCTAAAGACAATGATAAAGTAAAATGCAATGCTGTTCGAGCTCTTGGAAGTATACTGTACTTATGTCCGAATAAAAATATACTGAAAGACACATCATCAGGTTTAGAGGCTCTTATAAATTGTGCTACTATAGGAAACGATATGAAGGTATATAAATTAAAAAATTGTTACAGGATCAGCAACATTATTAATCATTATTTTAATTAAAGGTCCGTTGGAATGCATGTCATGCTCTAGGATTAGTTTTAAGCAATGATCCAGACAGTATATTACAATCTTCCTGGCGGGTATGTAATGAACAGAACGTAATTTCAAAAATTCTTTTTTATCGTAGTTAATATAACTTTATTGTTTCAGTAGGATCAAGTATTTCCTGTATTATGTAACTTAATTTGCAATAGCCCGAACTTCAAAGTGCGTACTAATGCAGCATGGGCATTATATACCTGCAATTCGTATGGAAAATATATTGTAACTTTATGGAAGACTCTTATCTTAGCATTTGAAAATTCTCAGCATGTACCGAGTTATATTGAATATCCTCACCGTGATGCTCTTATTCAACAAGTAATTATTACGAAATTTTAAATCTAGTATAATTAATGTGTATTAATATTTCTGATATATATTTTTAGTTGTGCCTTACTCTTAGCCATATAGCTGCATGTACAGAGATGTCAGATTTACAAAATCTTTGGACAGAGATAAGTGAACATGTAGATGATATTTCTAACTATGTAAAGCAATTTCAGGTATGATTGTATTATTTATTATTAATCTCTAAAAAAATCAATATCATGTCATACAATTTTTATAATTTTCTACAACATTTTCATTTCAGGAAATTATTATTCCTGAAAAAATGGGAGATTTAATAAAGGCAAAATCTCAATTAGAAAAATATGTGAAAAATGCTTCGTTATTAGAAGAACGAAAAATTGCCCAAACTTTAGCAAATATTTTTGAAAGAACTAAGAGATATGATAATTTAGATGGTATTGCTTTTATTACTAAAAAGTAATAAATAAATTATGTATTAATTATATGTATCTATGTCATCCAACATTTGAAATTGTAACAATTTGCATGTATAAAGCATATGTATGTATCTACACAACATAGTATGTAGCAAACATGTAAAAATGTAGATATTATTAAAATATAGATTAAATTTATTTATCAAATATATTTAAATGCAAATAAAAAATTTGTAACAACACTTATTATATAACGTTTTAATATTTAATTCTTATTTATTTTTATTATTATTAAGAAAAATTTATATTTACATGTTTTCTGTAAATTTCATTCTCACTTATGTATTTACAGGAGAATTTGACTGTTTAAATTGATTCTCGTCTATATCTTTTGAACTTGATGCATCTTTAATTTCATTATTAAACACATTATCATTTTTATCACTTATTTCTTGTTCATCTGAATCTTCATCAGAATTATTGTTCTCACTTTTACTATGTTCTTCTATATTTCCAGTCTTTATTTTCTTCTTTTGTTTCCATTTCTGTTTTTTTTTTAATCTCTTTGCTCTTTTCTTTGCAGTTATTTCCTCAGCCACCCTTTTATTTTCCTCAATTCTCCTATGGTATTCTTCATCTAAAAGTTCCTAATCACAAACATGTCATAAAATCAGAAAAACTGATAATGTAAAGCAAATGAATTATCAAATTAGTCTCATTATCAGTTATATGAATTTATAATAATAATAATTTCATAATAAGCTCCTATGTTACCTTATGGCCTTTTTCTTGAATAAATTTCTGCCTTGCATATTCTTTACGCCTCAAATGTCTGTATACATGAAATTCTCCACTACCAGCACCAGCACTACTACCCATTACATTACGAACAAACTCTGGTACTGTAGGTGTATTCTTAGCTTTAGGTCGATCTGGTAATATAATAGGTTTTTCCTATAATAAATAAATATATTTCATAACAATAGCCTAGATATCCTACATTGATCTTAAACTATTTATCCTAATGTTTTAAATATCCTATATACGCAATAATAAAATATTTCTAATATGCTTTTAACTTTTAATTTTAACACATGACTAAAATTTGTGTTTACCGGATTTTTCATTAATTTTTGAAGTTTCAATCGCTGTAAATCAGTTGCTGTCTTTGCTACAACAGGTTTTTCTTCTTCTTTATTGTCTGGCATAGTTATCGTACAAGACAGAGCTTTGATTCAAATCAATCGTATATCAAATCAGCGATTTCTTGTCAAATTATAACAATGAGAGGTTATGAATATGATAACAAAAGTGAAATACGCACAGTACAAAATCGATATATATATATATATATATATATATATATATATAT